AATGTTTGTCTGTGATTTGTGCATATCGAGATCCTCGTGGGTTCCAACACTATGGTGGTGTGGATCAAGAATTTGGTTCATTTAATATATATTATGGATTTTTATTAAGGTTTCGGTTTGTATTATACCATGCCTATAAGATTTCCGATACGTATTTCAGATATTGATTATGTATGATAGTATTTTCAAATTTTAAAGATTTATCAGGTTCAGGTTTCATATATGTTCGATAATTAAAATCTGTTTTATTATATCTAACCAGTTGTAGATCAAGTTTGGAGAAGACAAATTTTAAAGAAGATAAATTTTAGTAGCATCCCAAGCTAAGTTAAGAAGATTTTTGGAAAATTTATAAGTACTTTCAAAATAAGAAGTTGCGAAATATTGACTCTGATAAGCGGGGTGTTACAAAGGATATTGTAAAGCTTCATGGGGTACCCATGGAGATTGTGTCCGATCGGGATCCAAAGTTCACAGGCCACTTCTGGAAGACGTTGCACCGAGCCATGGGGACGAGGTTGGAGTTCAGTACAACCTTTCACCTCGAGACAGATGGCCAGTCAGAGCGTACGATCCAGTACTTGGAGGATATATTGAGGGTTGTGATCTTGGACCGAAACCTGACTTGGGAGTATGCCCTTCCGTTAGTCGAGCTGACCTACAATAATAGCTACCACTCATCGATCAAGATGGCCCCGTATGAGGCATTGTACGGACAGAAGATTCAGACTCCTTTGTATTGGTATGAGGTCGGAGAGAGAACGATCACGGGTCCATAGTTTGTTCGGAGTACTGATGTGTATGCAGTTGGAGATCATGTCTTGTTGAAGGTTTCACCCATGAGAGGTGTGATTAGCTTCGGGAAGAAGGGGAAACTTAGACCTCGCTATATCGGGCCGTTTGAGATCCTAGCTCGAGTCGGGGACTTGGCGTATCGGCTGGCTTTACCACCGGACTTATCCGCAGTGCACGATGTATTTCATGTCTCGATGCTTCGGAGATATGTGCATGATGCTGATCATGTGGTGGATTTCGGCGAGCTGCAGGTCGAGCGAGACCTTACCTATGAGGAGGTACCGACAGTCATTTTGGACCGGAAGATCCATCAGCTGAGGAACCGAGCAGTGAGTTTGGTGAAGGTACGTTGGAGACGGCACGACGAGTCAGAGGCGACTTGGGAAAAGGAAACCGAGATTAGGAGGCGATATCCAAACTTTGAGTTTTGATTTCCCCTTTGTATTTTATTGCTTTCTAGTTTTATTTTTCGAATTCCGAGGACGAAATTCTTTGTAAGGTGGATAGGCTGTAATACCCCTTTTGAATATGGAATAATTGGTATTATTATTTATCTTTACTATTATTATTATTATTATTATTATTATTATTATTATTATTATTATTATCTACTATTACTATTATTATTATTATTATGATTATTATTATTATTTTTATTATTATTATTATTATTATTATTATTGTTATTATTATTTATTATTGTTACTAAATTTCTAATTCTTTTAAATGCCTATTATTATTAAAAAATAATATTAAATGTCAGGTTTTATTTTAATTCGTGTTGTCGCGTTTTCTTACCGAGTTTTGAGTTATATTTCCAGCCCAATTGCTATGCTATTATATTGACCCTTGAGAATAAATTAGCCCAATACCTTCAAATTATTGGGCCACTTCTTTTATATTAATCTGGCCCAAATGATGAGAAGTCGAAACTCGTTTAAAAACTTCTTTTCCTTCGCTAAGGATGGACCAAGTCTCACTCGTTCAAATTTCTGGTGCGATTTTCTCGTGGATAACTCTTCCATTCAACCCCTTTCTCTCGCACGTTCCTCTTACATCTATTTAAATCATTAGAGGGATCTCATAAGGTTATTTATTTCTCTGATCATTTCAAAACCGAGCCTACTTCGCTTTTAAAAAAAAAAAAAATCGCGTACCTGCACTCTCCGTCGGGACTTTCATCTCCGACCAGATCTCGCCATCGTTGTGTTCTTACGCATCCTCGCGGTCAGAAGCCCCCATCCCGTCTGACCTCGAGTAGCGAACCAGCCAATCCCGCAAATCCGTTCGAGAATCACCGGTAAAGCTTCGCTCACCACTATTTTCGGCGAGCACTCCAACGGCGCTTTCCCCTACTGCCTTTGCCCGTTGTCAATCTCCGTCAGGCCTCGAAACCATTCGCGAGCAGCCGTTAGTCCGTCTGAAAAGACTACAGCAAGCAGTTCGTGAGCCGTAACCGTTCGTTGAGCTTTCAAGAGTTCTGTTCGTTCATTGCATTCTATTCGTTTCCAATGAGCACGTAGATTCCTGGAGACCGGTAATCTATTTCGAGCTCCCTTGATATTTTCGTGCTCATGAATAATAGTTCATTACCTTAGCTCGTTAAATCGATATTCATAGATTGCTCGATGCGTACGTTCATTTTATTCGTCCTTTGAATTTCGAATATTTATTCGTGTGAAATTGTGAAT